ACAGCGGCTGTAGCTGTAATTAAAGTGTGTGTGTGTGTATGTGAGAGAGAGAAAGAGAGAGAGAAAGACTGGGAATGTGTGTGTGTGTGTGTGTGTGTGTGTGTGTGTAAGAACAGGATTATTACGGAGCTCAATCCCCTCATCTGACTCAGCTTTGAGAGTGTTTGGTGAAAGTGTTTCTGTGGGCTGAACACACACACACACACACACACACACTTCAACAACACGAGATGTTGGAGCGCAACACTACAGCATGAAAGCAACACAAGAGTGTGTTTCTAAGGGGAATCACACGCTCCTGAAGCTGTTCACACACACACACACTGGCTGGACTGAAGAACAGCTTCTTGATGTATTATTGTCATGTACATGCATCTGTTTGACGGATCCGTTAACGTTTCCTTCCTCGTGGTGAGCAGATGGACTGAATTCATAACCTGCCTCATGGTTTCCGTCAGCTGAACATTTGCTGAGGCTTTCTCCAAACGCAGAGACGATGGACGGCGAGGATTCAGCCGAGAGTCAAAGTGCATATGAGGTCAGTTATTAAGCATGCTTGATTCTAATGTTTGATTTGATTCCGGCTGAATGTAAATGAATGCTTTGTTTTAATATGACAGAATGTTTTCTGCAATCCAGCTTTTGAACCCGATGAAGACAATGAGGAAAACACAAGAAGCGCTCAAATCCACATATACTTCGAGCCCGCTAAAGAGCCAGGTGAGTGCTCACGGACAGACACAGATATCACTCTGCGACTGAGTGATTTAAGTGTGGTTTATTCATAAACTAATTTCGAGAGGATCACGTGCTTATAATCAACACGGCTGGCTCCTTGTTAGCTCTGTAATCAGCCCCATAGATGATTACAGAAGCATTATAAATAACCTGAGTTTTTCACTCCAGTTATCTTCGTCTTGAAGCTCCCCCCCTTTCCACCCCTACATCCTCCCACTTTTTCTGATCAGGCGACACGGTCGCCCAGTGGCTAGCACTGTTGCCTCACAGCAAGAACACCGCCGGTCCAACCCATCGGGCCGGTTGGTGTTTCTGTGTGGAGTTTGCGTGTTCTCCCCGTGTTCGCGTGGGTTTCCCCCGGGTTTCCTCCCACAGTCCAAAAACATAAACCATAGCCAATCGACTAAAACAAATTATCACCCAATACAACCTGAGTTTACACTTCTCACGGTGACAAGCAGGGGAGTTCTCGAGACCTACCTGACTTCGAATTCCCCTCTCGCCCTTCTAACAGGAGGAAGCCCCGGGCTCGAGGATATTACGAGCTCAGGGCTCTCTCCCAGGACAGCATGCCAAATATGCTTTATTGATTATCAGCTAAGTGTGAACTCTTGAAACTATTTTAACACACACACACACACACACACACACACACACACACACACACACACACACACACACACACACACACACACACACACACACATATTAATAATAAATAAAGAACAGAAAAAACACAGAGACGTCACACCCACACTGAAAACCCTAATAAGTTGACTGAACTAAACTAATTGAGTAAACTCGTTGCCTAAATTTAATTGAGTAATAGAGTCTCCCAAAACTTGCATATTTAAGTTTATTTAACTTGCCGGATTTGTAGGCTCTACTTAAATTGTCCAATTCACTAAACTAGTACTAACAAAAAAATAAGACAAAACAAGTGACAGACACTTCATTCTGTTACTATATATATATATGTGTGTGTGTGTGTGTGTGTGTGTGTAATAATATACTTTAAAAAAATGTTTAAATAAATTTTAAACAAAAAATAAGTATCCATTTATTCCTGTTATGATGGATAATTATACCTGAAGCCATTTGCTTTCTGATTTAAAAAATACCTTATAATAGAATTGTACAGTCGAGACTACATCTGTGAAAATGACCTACTTTTTTTATAAAGGATTAATTAGGATTTTAAGCTCACTACACTTGAAATCTTAAGTGTTTGCATTTTCATGGTAAATAACTTAAGTGAACTCATATTTTTAAGTGACGGGACCAAAATGCTATGTTCAGTCAACTTTACACTCTCAGAAATAAAGGTACAGGAGCCGTCACTGGGCCAGTACCTCTTTAAAAGGTACATATTTGAGCCCACAGTGGAACCTCAAATGTGCATATTAGTGCCCAAATGAACCTAAATAGTACCTTTGAGGTGCCATAACGGACCCTTCAGGTATAAACATGCTCCTTTTGAAGAGGTACCGCCCCACTGACAGCTCCTGCACCTTTATTTCTGAGAGTGTGCTTAATTGTTTAAGCAAAGACAACATTAGGGTTTACAGTGCAGTGCTTACATCATTCTCACACAGTTATGTTGTTTTACGATTATCGTCTTCACAGTCACATTCTTCACAGGGTTTACATTCCCACCGCTCCCCTCTCCTTCAGAAATAACCGTGGGAATGGAGTATAATGAATAGGACCAGGCGCAGAAGATAAACACAAATAAATAAAGGAAATGAAAGAGGGGTGTACATCTCACAAACATGGGGAAACAAGAAACGCTAACAGCGCATGAATAATGATGCATTAATATGTAAACTAAACTTCATTCTGATTTAATGATGAGTTAGGGCATGCACTACTCATGAACTAACTTTAACATGAGCCACAGGAGTTCCTGTGTGAATAACGGCTACCTTAATTACTTGTTAGTACTTAATTATTGTATTAATTAACATTAAAGTTTAAGCTAAAAGTCCCCAACATGATCTGATGATGTATAATGATGTCGGGATTGATTGGAGGGGCACATCATCATTAACTCACCCTTAACTCCTCATCAGCTGCTGTGTTTAAACTGTTGATGTCGACTGAACACTTTTCTAGTGTTATTGAGTGTAAACGCACTAGACGGACCTACATAAAGAGTTAAGGATGAGATGCCCATCCCCACGATATAATTAACAGCTCATGATGGTTGAATTAAGCATGATCTAATGTAATGTTTAGTTTACATATTAACACATCACTCATTGTAAAACTCTCCATAGTTACTGATGCACTATCCATCGTCCATATGGAGGTCATTCTACAGGCTTCCCACGCATGTTGACAGTACTTGAATTTCAGACATGTGGATTCAAGGGGTCCTATCATACAATCCGGCGCAAGGCAAATGTTATTTGTTAGTTTCAGCTTTACTGTTAGACATTGACATGCTGTGCTGTGTGTGTTCTCTGAAAGCTGCAGTAAATGTGCTGACAGTACGAGCGTGTTTGGCTGATCACAGAGCAGTGTTGGTGTCGGCCGCTGTGCTGTTCGTCTCCACCGTCCTGTGCATCACCCTCATCTTTCTTCTCAAACGTGAGTAAAGTCTCTTTTCATTTCATTTCACCCGATCTCGCTGCAAAGTCTCTCCAGGATTTTATAAGAACTTTTTTTTTTAAACTTGTGACCTAAAACAGGTGTGTTTTAATAATTATTGTGGAATTTGTGTTCAGTATTCTACATGTCAAGGCTTTTCAAACATGCCATATAAATAAAAGTATTTGATAATCCAAAGCGCTGTTAGAGTTTCGTCTTTGTGACTTTAATTGGATCATTGACTGCGAAGTACCTTTGTGTGCTTCAATGATATTTGCTATTTCATGTTTATTTTATGATCTTTAATTAATTATCCCTATTAAGCTATGTAGCTAGAATTAATGCTGGTGGTCCTTCCATTTCCCTCAATCTAAATGAACACTTACTTTCCCTCTTTCTTTTTCTGTGTTGTTGTTTTCACAGAAGTTGAGACGACTAAAGAAGAGGTTTCACCTTCAGACACTTGGTTTGGAAACAGAGTTTCTGAAAATCTCTCTTTGAGTCCGACTGCCCTCCAGCCTACATATAGCCCCACAGTCTCTGTGTCTGGGACAGAGCCTACATTCACAAGTCAGTAAAGGATCTCTTACACAGATACATGCATACATTTACCATTTCATATAAAGCAACCCCAAAGCATCTTTGTACATTAGTTGGATTGTATGATAGGCATAAAGAACATCCAGAGCGGTTGTTATCTCAGAATAAAGCCTGACAGGTTTAACCTTTTGTAAATATATATATTTATGCATTTTTATATCAATTTTCAGTATTAATAAATAATACACAAATGTTTAGATAATTTGTGTACAATACAGTTTAAAGTCATATTTTTGTCACGTTTCTAGTGCAAATGTCTAAAAAACAGGCAAACATTATAGTCTTGTTTTCTGAAATGATGAGTCAAAATGAAGTGCGTTTCTCCCTAAAACACACAAAATAATCCAGTTCTTCCTTCAGACATGATGATTATTTTGCTTGGCAGATAATTTGGTTTGTTTCAAGGAAAAACTCTCTTCATTTTGACCATATACTTGTCTAGAAAATGCTTCTTGATTTAAAATTCTTTAGATATTTGGACTAGAAACAAGACACGAGGGCTGTTTCTCAATTCCAAGAATGCAGAGAACAGTCCAGAGACCGGTTTGGCCAAGTTACCTCGGAAAAACGAACTCGGGAGGCCGCGAGAACAGAGAATGCGTCCTCTGAGAAATGACATGCTACGTTCTTCCGGATGGTCACATGACCTTCACGTGTTTTTTTTTTTTTTAATAATTATTTAAACAGGCGACGCAGTGGTGCAGTATAGTGCTGTCGCCTCACAGCAAGAAGGTCGCTGGGTCGATCCTCAGCTGGGTCAGTTGGTGTTTCTGTGTGGAGTTTGCATGTTCTCCCTGTGTTGGCGTGGGTTTCCTCCGGGTGCTCCGGTTTCCCCCACAGTCCAAACACATGCGGTACAGGTGAACTGGGTAGGCTAAATTACCCGTAGTGTATAAGTGTGTGTGTGGATGTTTCCCAGAGATGGGTTGCGGCTGGAAGGGCATCAGCTGCGTAAAAACGTGCTGGATAAGTTGGCGGTTCATTCCACTGTGGCGACCCCGGATTAATAAAGGGACTAAGCCGACAAGAAAAATGAATGAATGAATGAATGAAACATTGCAGCAGTCTTACAATGATTTAGTGTTTTTCAACATGTACACTCTGCATTAAAACATAAACACACGTCGCACAATATAAAGAAAACAGATTTTAATATAAATTTCAGCAAATAAACACTCTTATTGTGTTCATGCCTTTATAAGATTTTCATGCTGATGTTTATATTCACCGTCTCATTTAGGGAATCTCCTAAGATAATTAAGTGTTATCTCTGAACTTTAATAATAAACCTATATTAAATGCTGCGCTTCCCGCCTCCTTGGTTGCAGTGCAGATGCAGCCACTCAAACCAATGAGCAGTGAGGTGATCATCAACAGAACAATCAGCTCAGATGAGCAATGGTGATTGTAAAATGAAGCTCTTCAGTTTGGTATTTTGGTATCCTCTACATACAGCAGCTGAACGTGGCCCTTCCTCATCATAACAGCAGCTCTTTCCATCATGAAGGTTTCCTTTTCTCTGCTCTGACAGAATGTGGGGGCATGTTGAGCGGTGCAGGAGGGACTCTGAGCTCTCCCAATCACCCAGGTGTGTATCCTCCTGACTCTCACTGTGTGTGGGTGATCCGGGTGTCTCCTCCGTCCCTCGTGCAGATCCAGGTCTCGTCTCTGGCTATCGAGGGACCTTCGCCCTGCCTGTTTGATTGGCTGGAGGTCAGAGAGGAGACAGAGAAGACATCTGCTGCCACCAGGTTTGGTGTTTCCTAACCATTTGCAGTAATCAGAAATGAAACGGGCCTGCCTTTACGCTGGAAAAGCATTTGATTAGGATGCCAGAACAAGTCAAGGCTGAGGATGTGTCTCAATCAGCACCCTTGTTCACTATTTAGTGCACTGATCAGGTTGCCACCCATTTTAAACGTGACCTATTCTGCCCCTTTTTACAAGAACTAAAACAAGTCTGTGATGTCCAGTGTGAAGTGAGCAGACAGGTAGTGTTCTCTAACTCTCTGAAACTGACCCGTTTAGACTTTGATTCTAATTGTGGCGTTTACGTGACTGTCGCTTTAAATGCAAATGAGATTGTGCTCTTTTGAGAAAAGGGCGGAGCTACAAATGCCTTTATATCAACAAAGTGGCAGACAGTGTTAAGAGTGACGCTTTATAAGTAGCATAATAATATTACTTTTCCCATGTAACGCGTCACTTTTAAACATAAGTAATATTATTTGAGCTACTTTTACCTTGCTTAATTGACTTTAAAAATCTAATGCGGAATAAAAATGACCTTAGGTTGAATCACACACTCAATAAGAGAACGTGCTGCTCGGGAACAGACAGTCGGCTCACAGTCATCATCATCATCATCAGGTCTGTTCTTTACAGCGGATGAGTCAGTGTACTGTTCTAGTAACTGAATAACTCAGGATATTGGTTTATTTCGAGTCAGAGGGGGGATCCGGTGTGTTAGTACTGAAGACAAAAAAACATTTAACAACAATCTGTGGTGGATTCTTGTTATTTTAAACTCCTCGAAGAAAAGAATTAAGTGTAGATTATGTGTAAGTAAAACTCTTACAACTGTGGGAAACGCAACTTAAAAAACAAACAAACAAAACTGGATGCAAAGCACTACACCCGCACCCCACCTTCAGCAGAGCAACAAATGACTGACATCAGTTCGCGTTCTCCATCTAAAACAATGAATTCAATCGTGAGATCAAGCCTCAGCCGGGTATGAAGCAACTCGACAGTAAAATAACGCATTACTTTCAATAAAAAGGAACTGAGCAACGGAATTAGTTACTGTTTTGGGAAGTAAGTCAATATTGTAATGCACGACTTTCAGAAGTAACTTTTCCCAACACTGGTGGCACATTCGAAAACAAGACTAAAGTCCTATGCTAATGAGGGAGAGATGGGCACTAGTGGGCGGGGCTTTTCCCCTCTGATGCACTACAATAACACAGCATTGATACGCACAACAGCTGCGCTCCTTAACAGAAGTCCTGATGTGAGAAATATAAATCACGTGACCCAAATCATCAGATGTAATGACGAACAAGAACATTTTCTTCTGTAAAGAATCTGTCATTTATTGATTTTTTACATGAACTAGCTAGACAGGAAAGCAAATATGATGCTGGTTTATGAAATAGTTGAAGTATTTAGCTGTTGTGTACGCAGTAAACTTCATACATGAAAATCGTTTCCTCTGCTGTTGTTCATAAACTCCTAATCAAGTTTTGATGATGTACAATGAGGGCATTCTAGTGTCTAATGTCACTGAGGTGATGCAGGTTCATCAGTGCCCTTAATAGTGCCCGGATTTGTGCACAGGATTTACTGCGCACGTCTCTTTTGTCTGATACACACTTTTCAGGCCTCAGGAGACTCTGGTAAGGAGCTGCTGGGGTTGATTGAGAAGAAATGTGCAGAATCTAATCTGTTGTACTGTTGTTTAACCTGTTTCATTCAACCCAAACCTTTAATAATGAATTAAATCATTCAAGAAAAATTAAAAGATTTGCTTCTTCCTAGATTTTGTGGAAACGTTGCACCACCTACACTGAACACAAACAGCAGTACTGTGCTGGTTTCATTTCACTCGGATGGAAGCATTGGTGGCACTGGGTTTATTGCACAGTACCATTCTATATTACCAGGACAGAGTAAGCATATCACTTAAACATGTCAGTGTTTGAACATCTCTCTCTCTCTCTCTCTCTCTCTCTCTCTCTCTCTCTCTCTCTGTGTGTCTCTCTGTCTCTCTGTCTTCTATGATTGCCTGTTTTGATGACTTTGAAGACAAATGAAAATCATTTTGATTGTGTAGATTTTACGACAACCAGAGACTTAATCTGGCTTGAGTTATTGGTCATAGCAATTATAACACACAGTTTGAATGAAGCTGAAGACCTGCAACCGTTCACTTCAATAGTAAGTCAACCAGTATTTGTCACGTGAAACACTAAAGCATGCGGCGCATGAGCCACGAGCTAAACACAACACCAGCAGAAGACTGAATGTAAGACACGAGCAACACTGAAAACACTTACAGAAATCCCACAATAACTATCCTGCTACAGACGTAAAACGTCAAATCAGACCCTGATTCCGATAATGAATGCATGCGAAGTGTTTTTTGTATATGTGAAGGTTATTATATTCACTAAAGTCTTAATTTTGTCTGCAAACAGGAAGTTGTTCCAGGGAAGAGTTTATGTGTGACAGTGGTCATTGCTTACTGCCAGTTTTCATCTGTGATGGTCAACCAAACTGCCAGGACCATTCAGATGAGCTCAACTGCAGCCACAAGCACAGAGGTAGGAGAGATAAAGCCACTGCTGAGTGTGTGATGCTTCTGTTCGCTGTCTTGATCCAAAGTTAAATCACAGTGCGTTTGATACTCAGTGTGTGGAGGACAAATAACAGGAGAATACGGATCACTGTCCAGTCCAAACCACCCGAAGCCTTACCCACATCAACAGGTCGGTTTCCAGTGCTTTCTCTGCTACCTCTAATCACTAGGAATAGTTATTGATGACATTGGGCTCTATTTTACCAATCTAGGCACAAAGTCTAAAGCACATGCAGATGCATTTAGGGCATGTCCAAATCCACTTTAGCTATTTTAAGGATGGATAAATTTGCTCTGCACCCGGCGCATGCTCTATCAGGGCTGTGCTGATTCTCTTAATGAGTTCTGGCTGTGTTTTGAGCATAACCTGCATTAAACCAATCAGAGTCTAGACACATTTCCATCCTCGGGTAACATGCCAGATCCGTTACACCGATCTGTTCGGGACCTCGCAGTTCATAAATTAAGCACTGGGTACGGGTCACCTTAATCAGGCTTGTGTCTCCACCAATGGTACCATTTTGATGGGCGTGGTGTACGACAGAAAGTTGCAATCAACGTCATTCTCATCTGAGGTTTGGAGGTTTTTGGTGTTGTCCTAACTTAAAAAAAATAAAAGGAATAACCAACCAAAATATATTCAGTAAGCAGGAATACACAATGCACATAAACAAAACACAGGCCGTAGTAACACAAATACTGTTGGAACAAATGAACTGATTTGACCTGGTCTGATGATGTTTCATAGATGTGTACGTGGCAAATATCAGTGGAGGACGGACAAGTTATTCGACTAAGTTTCCAGAATTTCAGTCTGGAAGCGCAGGATGTCTGCAAGTTTGACTATGTGGAGGTTTATGACGGTGCTGAGACAGCTCTGGGGAGGTACGAACACACCACTGCTTTCTCTGATTTTCAACATGTGTTAATGCTCTCACTATGTAGTGTGAACACAGTTTGAGTTGAATGCTCTATATCTCTTCTAGTTGAACAATCTTTAGCCCTTTAAGACCCCAGTATACTTCAAATGAAATCGAACGACAAACTGAAAACCGAAGTCATTTCGATATAAACCCTGTCTAAATGCAGCTTTTTTTCAGCAATTCAAATCAGCTCAATGGGCAAACTTTTTGTGGAGTTTGTTTTGGCTTCTAAACACCTTTGAGCTGCCATTGATCTATGGCAGGGATGTCAAACTCGATTGCTGGAGGGCCGCAGCTCTGCAGTTTAGTTCCAACCCTGCTCCAACACACTTACCTGCAGGTTACAAACAAGCCTGAAGCACTCGATTAGTTTGAACAGGCGTGTCTGATTAGGGTTGGAACTAAACTGTGCAGAGCTGCGGCCCTTTAGGAACTGAGTTTGACACTTACAGTCTATGTTAATTAATCAATTATTGGGTGTGTTCTGGAACTTTACCCACCCATTCTATGAGTATCAGGCAGAAGAACAACATCCAAAAGAAGTAGCAGAGCTGTAGAATTGCCTACAGATAAGTAGCCAAGAAATTAGGTCCAGAACACACCAAGCCGATGCCAAATGCCTAGCACCAACAAAACCATGACACTGGGGGAGCTTGAGCTCCAACTCTTCCTTCTATAAGCTGTTTTAATGCGTACACCCACACCACCCCTAACCCCAACCCCAAGAGACATCACTTGAAGAAGAAGTGCAAGGAAGGAGGAGCTGGAGCTCAGCTCTGCCCAAGTGACTCTGCAGTTAGTACCACTTGACAAAACCCAACAGTGTTACTCTCTTCGGAACTACACATTCACACCCTATCTACTGCAGTGCAGGGGTGTCAGAAGGTTTGAAAAGAGTCCACCATTGCTCAGCCTTTTCCAACTTCTTTTTTGCCCTCTAGTGCAATGCTTTACATCAGGGGTCACCAATCTCGTTACTGGAGGTTTAGCTCCAACTTGCCTCAACACACCTGCCTGTGTGTTTCGAGTATACCTAGTAGGACCTTGATTAGCTTGCTCAGGTGTGTTAGATTAGGTTTGGAGCTAAAATCTGCAGGACACCGGCCCTCCAGGAGCAAGTTTGGTGACCCCTGCTTTACATAAACTCCGGTGCTTATTACACACAATGCATAAGTCACAGCCTCTCTAGCATGCTAACCTTCATGTTTGTGGATTAATCAGCTTCTGTGGCTCTCTGCAGGTACTGTGGGTCAGCGCTGCCTCCTGATCTGACCTCCTCTGGACCTGTGCTGACTGTTGTGTTTGTGGCAGATGAAGGTGTTGCCGACAGTGGCTTTTATGCATCGTTTCAGGCCATATCTCTTTCAGAGAGTGAGTGCTGCGTGATTTCGTCTTCAGGATACTGTAAGACTCTGTTTGTAGACTTTCACCGAACTGTGTGGTTCTGCTTCAGGAACGTGCAGTCCAGCACAGTTTGCCTGTCCCACTGGCGAGTGTCTCCATCAGGACTGGTTGTGTGATGGATGGAGTGACTGTGCCGATGGTGCAGATGAGCACCACTGCATGAACTCCACCTACCCTCCATTCAGTGAGAATGCAGCGAACAATATGATCATTCCTTTTTGAGGCTCAACATGATTTTTCTGTTACATCACTCCTACTCTCTAAATTATCAGTCAGAATTATCAGCTGAAGTCAGCATCAGATCCAAATGCACTCTTCTTATATTTAAATGTAAACAGTAGGGCTTGTTATACACAATGAATCTGTGCACCTTGCCTCCCCCCTTGTAATGACTTCTCTTCACTTCTGGTCACATGGAATGGCTTTAGGGTGGGGCTATCAGTGCTTTCGGGCAGGATATCAGTCATAATGGGCGGGGCTATCAGTCATTTAGGGCAGGGCTATCAGTGCTTCAGGGCAGGACTATCAGTCATTAAGGACGGGACTATCAGTCATTTAGGGCGGGGCTATCAGTCATTTAGGGCAGGGCTATCAGTCATTTAGGGCGGGGCTATCAGTCATTTAGGGCGAGGCTATCAGTAATTTAGGGCGGGGCTATCAGTCATTTAGGGCAGGGCTATCAGTCATTTAGGGCGGGGCTATCAGTCATTTAGGGCAGGGCTATCAGTCATTTAGGGCGGGGCTATCAGTAATTTAGGGCGGGGCTATTAGTCATTTAGGGCAGGGCTATCAGTCATTTAGGGCAGGGCTATCAGTCATTTAGGGCGGAGCTATTAGTCATTTAGGGCAGGGCTATCAGTCATTTAGGGCAGGGCTATCAGTCATTTAGGGCAGGGCTAGTCATTTAGGGCGGGGCTATCAGTCATTTAGGGCGGGGCTATCAGTCATTTAGGGCGGGGCTATCAGTCATTTAGGGCAGGGCTATCAGTCATTTAGGGCGGGGCTATTAGTCATTTAGGGCGGGGCTATCAGTCATTTAGGGCGGGGCTATCAGTCATTTAGGGCAGGGCTATCAGTCATTTAGGGCGGGGCTATCAGTCATTTAGGGCGGGGCTATCAGTGCATGTCTTGTTTTTTTTCCCTGCCTTTGAGGGTGTCAGTGGATTGAACAGATCTGGTCAAATTTCATCTGTAATATTTAACAGAGTTGAATCTAAACTCTTCAAGGCTGTGGCCCTTTGGGAACTGGTTTGACACCCCTGATCCATATATAGCAGCGGTGTCCAAACTCGGTTCTGGAGGGCCTGTTTCCTGGAGAGTTTGGCTCCAACCCAAATTAAACACATCTGAACCAGCTAATCAAGCTTCTACAAGATATACAAAAAACTTCCTGGCAGGTGTGTTAAACCAAGTTGGAGTTAAACTCAGCAGGAAACGCCTGCCCTGGGGGTGTGAGTTTGGACACCCCTGTGGAGGGCCGGTGTCCTGCAGATTTTAGTTCTAACTTGCCTCAACACACCTGCAAGGATGTTTCTAGAAAGCCTAGTAAGAGCTTGATTAGGTAGCCCAGGTGTATCTGGATGGGGTTAGAACTAAACTAAACCGAGTTTGGACATGCCTGCTCTAAACAATAAGGAGCGCCACACTGCCTATGAGCATACGACATTTACAGTATGTGCAAACAACCTTCAGAAGAAGCTGTTTTGGTCACCGAATCCTTTTAGTCAATAGTGATGAATCAGATTCTCATTTTGTCCTTATCTTCACAGCTTCATCTTGTGAGCTGATCCAGGTTGAAATGTGCAGAGATCTGAGCTACAATCTGACATCTTTTCCGAACATCTGGCTGTCTCTGTCGGATCAGAGAGAGGCGGCCTCTATTCTGCACAAGTACAGGGTGAGCAAGCCGTTCCCTAGTGAGCCACAGGGTTACATATAGAGCACTGTTGTGAAGCATGTTTGTTCTGGTCTTGTGGCAGGTGCTGGTGGATCTGCCGTGTTTCGAGTCCTTTCGGCAGCTGGTCTGTGGGATGTTTCTGCCCCGCTGTAGTCCTCAGAGCGGCGTCCTGCAGTTGTGTCAGTCTGTCTGCTCCACCGCCGAGCTGCAGTGCAGTCCCGCTCTCAGCCTGTTCAGCTTAAACTGGCCCTTCAACTGCCTCCTCCTGCCTGATTCACACGACCCCATGGAGTGCTCCCTTCCGTAGGACCAGTGATGGATGGATGCACCACAACCTCAGAGTCAAGCTGGAAAATGACGACACTCACTCACACAGCACTGAAAAGCCAAGTGGAAGGAGTGTCCATTTGTTGGGAAAAAGGACATGCAATATATACATGTTGCCAAAGGTTTTGAGACTGTTACCTTTACATGCATATGAACCTCCCTATCTTAATAGGAGGGATTAAATATGCCATTCCATAACAGCTTAAACTCTTCTGGAAAGGCTTTCCACACTAGGTTCAGGTGTGTGGTTTTGGATGATGTTGGATGAGGAGACCTGTCTCAAAGTCTCCACTCTAAATCATGCCAAAGGTATGGGATTAAGGCCAGTTCTCTTCCTCCACACCAAACTCCTAATCACCTGTGGATTCACCAGTACCACATGTCTTTAGACTGTGGGGGAAAACGGGGCACCCGGAGGAAACCCACATGAACAGGGGGATAACATGCAAACTTCACACAGAAACACCAACTGACCCAGGAGAGGCTCGAACCAGCGACCTTCTTGCTGTGAGGCAAACTGCGCCACCGCATCGCCTCTCTTTCTCTATATTTAGTATAACCTGCATTTATGGTACTTTCAAAATGGTGCTATCTATGTGTACAATACATTTTCAATCAAATGATCTGATCATTGCAGCGATTAAGAACAGAACTGTATTGTGTATTGTTTTAGCCCACGTAGGGTTGGCATCACCTCTTTAAAAGTCTTGGATCTGATCAACTGAAGCTGCGCAATCTCTAGAGGCCATCCCGAGGTTGACACAGAAAGCAAAAGAAAGATAATAAGGTTTTCATGACATTTTAAATGAGATGTTATGAGATGTTCATGTGTGATGCATTTAACTGCATCCTACAGTTCTGTGATGCATTGTGTAAATGCTTTACTAAACAGATAGGTCTTTAATCTAGTGTTGAACTAAGAGAGTGTTTCTGAGCCTTGGACATTATCAGGAAGGCTATTGCAGAAATTAGGAGCCATACATGAAAACACTCGACCTCCTTTAGTGGACTTTACTATTCTGGGTATCAGAAGCCCTGAGCTTAGAGTTCTTCTCAGGAGTTCCTTTTACTCTGCTCCTTTTAACTCTACACCTGGCACAAAGCAGTCAGGCAAGTACAGTTGTCCATGTTAACTTGTATTTTGGGATTATTATACCCTTTCTGCACTCAGATTATCATGGCTGCCCGCTTCATAGTTACTCTGTCCATCTCTGTTTGGACAAATCTCCATTGGATAGAGTGATACAGAAATAAGTCACTTGACTTGACTAATGGGGTGGATTCACTTAGTGTCTCATTTATAAAGTTCATTTGAATGCATTTAAATGACATGTATTATTATATTTACTTGAGCGATCACAACATTAGAAATGAAACGTGTGAAGAAATATTGAGTTCTGTTTCTTTCCGCAATCCTTTCACAATGCTGTTCTTTTTGATGGATTTTCATGTGGATCTCTTTATCTCTTAAACGGAGAGTGGCTGGTACTGATACTGTCTGAAAGCGGGGTCAGTGACCGCAGGGATGTGTACCCCTGTGTGTCACACACACTTTTGCTTACATTCCCTCAGTAGTTTCATGATCATCACCCCTTTCCTGCTTGTCGAAAAAACGTACTTACTTAACAGCTTTCAGAGGAACTACAAGAGCGATCTGCCTTTCAGCCACACAGAAGAAGGTGGAACTCAAATAAACAGGTAAGCGTGTATATGTGTCTAGTGTTTATACAGTAGCAGCGGCTGTACATGGAGTCGTGTGTATTGCTCTTATCATCTACTGTATGATCCTGCGGTTGACTAATGAAATAAATCAATTAATGCGGCTAAATGCATACAATACTGCAAGACTTGTTTGAAAACCTATACATAAAACTATAATAGGAGAAAGAGCTAGACAAACGAATAAAATTGCGATACAAAGTTGGAGAGAGTTTGGATGGAAACATTTAATGAGCATTCTTATTCTAAGCAACATGTACAGGCACTGAACGTTTGGGCTCTTGTTGGAGACGATGTGAAACTTCAATGCCTAATCACCTTGACATTTTTTGAGCTTGCCCTAAAATACAGCGCTTTTGGTATGAGATAGCAACTGGAAAGATACCATGAGAAGATCTGGATTCTTCATTAATTACAATAACAAATTCTTTTGGAAATATATCAATCATAAGTCACTGATTCCCCAACAACTGACCAATGGATAGGGATTGTAATGGAGGTGTATGGACAGACTTTCAATTAGCTCAAGATTTGATTTAGAAGACGGCAACATTTATTGTGAAAATGGGATTGAGTATGCCAATGCAAATAATGCATGAGTAAGTCCATCAACCCTCATATTGTTCCTCCTATGACAACTGCTTCATTCACTTTGTTCCTTTTCCTCTTTTTAATTAAACAAGAGGGGTTTATTTATAACCTAATGTCGAGAGGATCACATGTTTATGATTCACCAATCAGACGATTCCTAAGCCACTATAAATACTCCATATCACAGCCGTCTTCATTTTGAAGAATCCCCCCTTCCACCCCTACTCCTCCTTTCCTAGATGGGCGGCACGGTGGCCCAGTGGTTAGCACTGTTGCCTCACAGCAAGAACGTCACTGGTTCTAGCCCTTACTCAGCCAGCTGACATTTCTGTGCGGACTTTACACGTTTACCCCGTGCTCACGTGGGTGTCCCCCAGGTTCCCCGGTTTCCTTCCACCATCCTAAAACATGCAGCTTAAGTTAATTGACTAATCCACATCAGCACATAGACATGCTCTAGTCAATAGTTCTCTCTTAAGAGCGATCACTATCTGTTCACTAGCCACTACAGCAGAGGAGTTCTCCAGATTTAACTGAGCTCTAACTCCCCTCTCACCTTGCAAAAGGAAGGGAGCCCCAGGCTCGAGGATCTTATGAGCTCAGGGCTGTCTCCCGGGACAACATGCCTAACATGCTTTATAATCAATCATCAGCTGAGGGTGAACTCTTATATATATATATATATATATATATAAAAGGAAGCTTACATGAGGGAATGTTGCTCATGGTCACTCTTTGTACCTCTTCTCAATCTTCCAGATTACGTCTCAAACCCAAATCAGCTCATCATGTGTACGGGGAAATGTGCTAAATGCACCGCAGACCTTCTCTTTCCATTCAGCATCATAGCCATAATTGGAAACATCCTGCTGTTTTTCCCTAACGGCGAGGTGTGGAGGACAGAGGAGATCACAGAAATCATCTGGTTCTTTCCCGGAGTCATCGGCGGAGGCCTGCTGGTGAGTCCAATACTGTTCCTGCACAACCAGATTGGCTGGAACACATTTCTAGGACCCTGTTAGTTGCTGACCCGTCCACACAGGCTCATTTGGAATATATGCGTGCCCAGGGCTACATATTTGAGAACTGTGAAATGCAGGGGTTCATACGCTCTTGGAAAGTTTTGAAAACGTAAACCCAAAATGTTTAGTAAAACTCATATAATTTGTTTAACCAATATCTGTACATAAATATATCCGAGACGATAATAATAGGTAAATTTTAAATACAATAGGGTATATGCTGAGCTAATGTTTCTCCCCATACTGATAAACTTCTGCTGAAGGGTTATTGTGACTTTTATCCATTTTATACGGTTCCTTTTACAGCATCGATGTTGTAATTTAATTAAAATACAATCAGTTAAACAGACTTCAGCATTCATTTAGTGGCTCAAGCGTAAAACGAGATGAAAAGCTGTTTACTCTCGCACGTGCTCGGCTAGCGCAGAAGCTCCATTGAATACACTGGGGTAAAATAAATGCTCATATTATAAAGGCATGGCGGTGAAATGTAGTGTAATGCAGTGCTTCTGTACAATCTGAGACCCACTTTATCTCGGATACCACCAGTGGAGATTGCTGATTTTTAAAGAAAACAGACCTTAAACACGCTGATTTTGGTGGTTGTTGTCACGCACTCTTCGAAGGAAAATGAAGAGTGTTGGGGGATTTCGTGGGTAGTGTTTGTTCGAGGACGAAACTGAAGACCAGGGAGGAGTCACGATAAGGAGGGATTGGTAAAATGAGGTGCCAGATCAGATTTTAGAGGTGCTGGTTCCGGCTTAATTAAGGGTTGTGAAAACACAAGCCAACATTTCTACTATTTTCACACAGACAGCAAGATAACTTCTAAAACCTTTTTCAGATTAAAATAAATATAAACTACATAGATGCTCACACATTTTTTGATATGCAGTAATAAATGTGAATGTGCATTAGTTTCTTATTTAGCACATGCACGTAGACGTTGCAAGACACATGAGGTCATAAATATATATTTGAATGTTGATTTAGAAAGTCCTGGAATTTTATTAGCAAAATAAACCCTTGGAAATATGTGCTATGCTCTGATGACATTATTGCTGACCATTTAATTGTCTATTGGTGGCTTTCCCGGTGTGGTCAGTTTGCTCAGTAGCTCGCCTTGTATAGTGACAGAGTCGGGACACAGACTGGAGTAGACTTGGGTTTGAGTCTGGCAAAATATGGTTTCAGAAACCAGGTAGAACTAAACAAATAAAAAAGCAGTGTGAAATTGAGGTAAGAGCATGCGGCATAATGACTTTCCTCTTCTAGTGTGCTTTTGAAAACACTACAGGGTGAGTTTAGGGAAGGAGGTGTGTGGGTCAGTCAATAGCAAGGTAATACACACACTTGACAAGCCGACTGACTTCCCAGAAATGTAGACAGCGGCCTCTGGTGGACTTCTGAACGTGTGTCCCAGTAACGTATTTGAGAAGATGTCAGGACTGAACATGTCGGCCTCAAGTGTGCCGCAAGCCTGCGTTTGAGTGAAGGTTTCGGCCGTTAGATCGCCCCCTGGGGGCTGGCTGCAGTACAAGTCATAAAGCCCGCCTCCTCCGTGTTAATGAAGGAGACTTGAGCCCAAATAAAAAAAAATATTACACTTGCAATAAAATGTCCCGAAAGATAGTTCTGGTGGATTAAGGCACTGGTTATTGTGCTGAAATAGGTGCAGATCTTCATTTTTGTAAACAGTTTGTTTTTAGCAGTAATTTAATGCTGGGCGTGTCATCGTGATTGACAGCTGTGACTGACAGTTTCTCAAAGCGCGGCGTCTGAGCTTCGGCAGGAGACTGAAGTAGACTGAAGTGTTATTATTCGATTTCTGTGTTATTTTACCATGACAAAATGAGTTCAGCAGTAAACTATAGTTTCTGACATACATGATCCTGGTGGAACACTGTTTATTCGCTAAGTTCAGGGCTTTTTTCGGGCTTTATTAGTTTGCTGATACACGCCTAGCCACCCAGATAGCAAAACACAGTTCCGGCTAGATTCTCGCCTGCCGGAGACTTATCTCTTAGAGCTCAGACTGACTAATGTTACCTCTGCTGGACCTACTCCGGATGCCTGGACTCACTGCCCGATTCCAGTCCGAGTCAATCGAGCCAGATGCGGCCGAGCGAGCCGGCGCTGCCGCATGCGAGCCGGAATCAGCCCGCGACGCCGCGAGTAGGTTATGCGCTGCGGCCCGGAGCTGGCGCGATTCAATATATAAAACCCTCATATTTGTTAACGTTATTACATCCATTTGTGTTGATATGACAGCAAACGCATGCTGAGCAGTTCGGGGGGCGTGGTTGATTTTACATAAAGCGTTTGGTTGGAAGCTCGACTCTGCTCATTTTCGCGGCTCCTCCTCTGGCTCCATCAGACAGTCCTTCTGCGCATGTCTGGCTCCAATTTCAGCAGTCTTTTGCGACAGTTTGTGCCCGTCAAGCAGGCGTTTTGCCCTCAAGGCGTTCAATGGGAAAAAGGGCTGTCGCGTCGTCCATATTTTTTACAGTCATTGGTCGGCCTCTACTGGATCTGTGAAGACCCATGTAAGCACATGTAGCCTCATGCTTATATAGTTCTGGAATATGAGGCCCTGTGCACGTGTGTAAACAGTGGGTCTGTGCTGCATTACGGGGAGTCGTGAAACTGCAGCCTCTCCGCATGTCTTTCTCAGACTGCGAGTCTTCAGGAGTGTGTGAAAGTAAGCCGAGTGTGATTTAGCTGTGTGTGCGTGTGTGTTTCAGGTGTGTTTGCCTGCGGTGGTGATGAGGGCGGCTGGGGTCGAGGGCAGCTGCTGTGCAAACAGATGTGGGGTCAGTAACTGCTCTCTCATGCCTACACAAAGTTCACAGTACAGCTCTGCAATATGACAATATACAGCACACACTGTCAACTGACTGCAGTGGCTAAACAATACAAACTATACTACAGTAAAAACCCAGAATCTGGCTAACAGTACCTTTCCCTATATGGGAATATCCATTTGCATGTTCTCCCCGTGTTGGTGTGGGTTTCCTCCGGGTGCTCTGGTTTCCCCCACAGTCCAAACACATGCGCTATAGGGGAACTGAGTAGGCTAAATTGGCTACAGAGCATGAGTGTGAATGTGAGTGTATGGGTGTTTCCCAGAGATTGGGTTGCAGCTGGAGGGGCATTCGCTGCATAAAACATGCTGGATAAGTTGGCGGTTCATTCTGCAGTGGCGACCCCAATTAAATTTCAAAACTTAAATTTTAGGCCTTAAAAAGTCTTAAATCCACTGAAATATTGTTGTAGGTCTCAATTTGTTTTAAACAGGTCTTAATTTTGCTTTGTCCAAGTAAAGTTAAACTCAATTTGGGCTGATATCCATCTAATGGCCATCAACACATCTCAATTAAACCTTATTTATTATATTTAAGTTTTTTTTATTGTAAAGAGAGAGCTCATAACAGCTAGGTTAGACATTTTTGCAGCAAATTCCCCAAATTAAATTCCCCAATCGGGGAATAAACCGAAAACAATTACACAACTCCTCATGATGATACTGGGCCATTAGAAAAAATCTATATAAGTCTACAATCTAATTCTTTATGGTCTTAAAAAGTCTTAAATTTGACTCTATGAAACTGCAGAAACCCTGCATTATCACGGTTGTTTTTAGGTTTTCACTCATCAGTGAGTAGTGTGGAGTTTGATGTTACATCTAATGTTCATAACTAATGTTTACTGCTTTATGTTTAATGTGTGTTCTCGTGATGGTGTTTAGTAGACACTGGGCGTCTTCTATAGATTTGTTTCTCTGCTCGTGGGAAAAGTTGCTTATTTTTATTCATAATATTACGATCATGTATTTCATGAGGACACTAAATACAGTGTTGACGGTGATCTGTTCATCAGATATTTGAGAGCAGCACATTATACTCCATCACAGACAGAAACATGACGAACAGCACCGTGAGAAAGTACAATGTTTACATTTTATACAGCAATAATTCATGTTATTCTGATGTTGGACCTGTAATCATTAGTTTATGAAAACATTTTTTTTTCATTCATTCATTTATTTTCTTGTCGGTTTAGTCCCTTTATTAATCCGGGGACGCCACGGCGGAATGAACCGTCAACTTATCCAGCAAGTTTTTACGTAGCGGATGCCTTTCCAACCACAACCCATCTCTGGGAAACACATTTATTTAATATTTCTATATATTTTAATCAAACTCTTGCCCTGAAGTTTTAAATAAGAGAAAAAGGTGATCACATGAGTACATTTCTAGTTTAAAATGCAAAAAATTTAAATTTAGATGAAATTTTTGATGTTTGTATTTATTTTATTTTTTTGCAATAACAGGTTTGAAAGATGTTTAGTGACCTAACTCATATTGCAATGAATATGACGACTGTTCTGTATAAATTCACCAAGAGTATCGTCTATATTCACAGAGAAATCAGCATGCGCTCGTTTATGCTGAGCTTAGTATAATCAATGAATTGATTGGCTTTATAGGAACGGTATTATATAGAGATACTGTTGTCAGGACGTGAGATGATGACTTGTGTATGGTGATATATGAGTTATGTCATGTCGCCCAGCTCTAGTTTATAACTCTCAGAGGCTCTTTTGCTTTATCTGAGCAGAGTGAATCTGCATCCTCCTCAATCAAACGTGCTGCAACCCTTAATAGAGCACTCAGCCTAATATTGGAGGCTCCCTGCGGCTTATCACAAGACTTTTGACTTTTACTGATTTTAAAAATGATGTTGTCATCAATGTCAGCGCAGCCAAATGAGACTCAAATGTCATTCTGCAGGTTTGCACTGGAGATGTTGAGCAGTGTAATGTCAAGGAGCATATCTAGCAGTGTATGTGTGTGTGTCTGTAAATGTGTGTCTCTCTCTCTCTGTGTGTGTGTGTGTTGTGCAGATGCTGCTGGCCATGCTGATGTCAGTGCTGGGAGCTGCTGGATCAGTGTACTGTATGATCATCAGTGTGATCGGCCTGCAGGACGGGCCTCTGTGTGACACAGGAGACGGCGTCTTCATCTACCCCTTCATCAACACCACCGCAGAGTAACACTTCTCCACTCTCTATAGAGTAGCATCATGTGTGTTTGCTCTCAGAATGAGGGACAGGAAATAAACGGTTCCTATAAATGCATTTCTACAAGCTGTGAATGCGTCTCTGCTGTGTCTAGAGTGTGTGTTTGAGCTGAGAGCAGCACACAGATGATGTCCTCCAGCTCTCTGAAGCTGACCCTCTCAGGCTTTGATCCTGACTGTAGTGTTTTGGTGACTGTCGCTTTAAATGCAAATGAGCTTGTACACCACAAAACGCTAGCCTCATGGGTTAATTCAGCTCTGGTTTATTTCTCCACCCTGTAGAGAGAGTTACCTGTTCAACCAGACGTGGTGGCATGTGTGTGAGAGGCCGAGGAACGTGGCGATGTGGAACGTGGTTCTGTTCTCCATTCTGCTGAGCGTGGGGACGCTGGAGGCTCTGCTGCTATTAGCGCAGGTGGTGAACGGGCTGATCGGCTGCCTCTGTGGGACCTGCATGAACAAGAACCAGGTCTCCCGTGCACTCTACACATCTATGTAGATTTGGGTTGAGCCCGTTTTAGACACCACACTTTGGTCGATACAATCTCGCCATTTGTCCATGCGAAAAAAGAGTAGCATGTGACTGAAACCGAAACAACTTCTAAGTAACGTCTAATCCAAATGTTGGACCTTATTCCTTAAAGATGAAAGACCAATAAAAAGATGTGAAGCACCAAAAGCTATTAATCTAATAATACTGATGAGGCCATTAATGATATGAAATGGATTTAAAATGGTGAAACTCACCTGTTAACCTCTAGCGGAGCTGAACAATGAGGGCATTTCCAAAAAACACGAGTGTTCCTTTAAGATTCATGATGCGACTGAAGAAAAACAGCTGCTTTATGTGTGTGCACACACACACACACACACACACTGACCCAAGGTGTCTTGTTTCTTTATCTTCAGCAGACACAGATGGCCTGAAGACCAAACACACACACTCCAGCATGAGGATCTGCACAGCGAAGAAGAGCACAGCAACATCCACACACACCTACAGGAGCTTACACACACATCTACAAGAACACACACACACACCTACAGCAACATCCTTCCACACATCTGCAGGAACACACACACACACACACACACACACACACGCACACACACACACACACACACACACACACACACACACACACACACACACACACACACACACACACACACACACACACACACACAATTTAAGAAATATCCACCCACCCCCGCTTATTCTGGCTAGCTCCACACAAGCTCCTGACGTATCTGTAACCAATCAGCGGTCAGCTGCGTGTGTAGCTCCGCCTTTCTCGTGTTTTGGTACCCGTTTGAAAGGGTGCTGTAATAGTGGTACGGTGCGGTTCGCCTTTTGACAGTGGAAACGGCTATTAAAGCGTACCGAACTGTACCACTCAGTGTAAACGGGCCAGTAGAATCATAATGTTCTCGCAGTGTATTTTGTAATGTCGAGCAGCGCTAGCTGTGAAGCCGAGCACATGGTGCAGCCCAGAGTGAACCTTTTCACTTCATCAGTGAGAATAGAGTCTGCTTTAGCTGTAACCTGATATATTTCTCTCTGCGATGTGTACTGTGCAGCACATTGGTCAACCTTTGGTTCTGTTTAATAGTGCTTTATAAATAAACATGACGTTGAACAGTGCATGGCAGAAATCTCTCTATTACCTTGATATATTCTGCTTTAAATATTACTGTTTTAAAGTAATAAATCCCTGAAATAGCTCCGCTTTCATATCAGAGATGTTTATGCTGCAATATTCATAATAAAAGGTGCTTTTCAATATTCTGCAACACACACACACACACACACACACAATTTAAGAACGTAGCTCATGATTTATAAAAAGCTTGTTTGGCATGCTGTCCCTGGAGAGAACCCTGAACTCAAGGGATCCTCGAGTCCAGGGTTCCCTTCCTTTTGCAGGGCGAGAGGGGAGATTGAGCTCAGGTCGATCTCAAAACTCCCTCGCAGCTGAGGCTAGGGTGAACTTCCCGAGAGCAAGAAATCTAGGAACAGAGACTTAGGTTTATTTTACCTATAATATAGAGCATATTTGGCTGGTTGGAAGGGGAAACCCACGCCGACACGGGGAGAACATGCAAACTGTGCACAGAAATATCAGATGATCCGGCAAGGACCCGATGCCAATGGTATTCTTGCAGTGGGGCTACAGTGCTAGTCACTGGCAGGGCTTAACTTGTGCCAGGACACACCTCATTTTACTGATCCCCTTCCTCACCCGCCCTCCTCCCCCCTCCGCTCTTCACTTTCGTCCCAGACAACCAACTCCCGCCCCGGCTCCTAACTTACATCTGCGACACCCCTCCGCTATCCCAACCACCCGACAACACTACCTCCTCGGGTAGTATGCCGGATCAGTCCCCCCGATCGCGATTCACAAATTAAGCACTGGTCACTAGGCCGCTGTGCCGCCCATTCTGGATAAAGAAGGGGAGGAGGGGGGTTTCTTCCAGACAAAGACAGTTGTAGAAAGGAAATGGGGATATATATACATATATAGTGATTGGGGATCCTTTGTAGGATCGTGATTAGCAGGGGCAGACTGGCCATCTGGCAATTCTGGCAAATGCCAGAAGGGCCGGACCATCTTTTAAATGTGGGCCGGTCAGCTATTTTTTTATTTATTTTTTCATATGTACTGTTTTTTTACATGTAAGCAGCTTTTATCTCTTGCAAGATGTGAATATTATGATGATGATTATGATAATAGTAAGAATATTAATCAATGTTAAGCATTGGCCCAATCGGCAACGACCGGCTGGTTTCAAGATGGGCCGACCCAATCAGAGGTTGTGCAAACGTAATCAAAATCTGGCAAGGATGTCAAACACACAGTAAGTGCGACAAATTGATAGAGATGGAGCATAAGAAGAGAAAGGCAGTCAAGTCAGACAATGCCAAATACATCAAATTAACTGAACTAGTCTCGAAAGGGGGCAGTGCAGTGGCGCAGTGGGTAGCGCTGTCGCCTCGCAGCAATAAGTTCGCTGGTTCCCTCAGTTGGTGTTTCTGTGAGGAGTTTGCATGTTCACGGGGGTTTCCTTCACAAGTCCAAACACATGCAATAGGTGAAATGGGTAGGCCAATTGGGAATTGGGTAACCCTGTCATGGGTTGCAGCTTTGAGGGCATCCGCTGTGTAAAACATGCTGGATAAGTTGGTGGTTCTAATATTAATAAAGGGACTAAGCTGAAAAAAAAATTTATGACATGATTGCATATATAAATGGGTTGTTTTTGTTTTAGTCACACATATTAAATGTTTAAATATCTCTTAAATATGTTACTGCTTATATAATTTTACCATCTGTACACCAGTATGAGCAGGGAATGTGCGTGTCCGTGGATGGGGCTGTGTCGGTGTGGTAATGTGGGCTGGTGTGGTGATTAGCTAATGTGGACCAGCAGGGTCAATCATGATCATGCGCTCCTCTCGAAATCAGTTTAATATTAAACTTCACTGATAGTTCCACTTGACTTATACTGCTGTGTAGGTTGATACCTGCCTCTTCCGTACTGTCTCTCTGTGTGTGTGTGTGTGTGTGTGTTCAGTAGTTAAACCGGTCAGATCAGTATGACAGTGCAGTGCTGTATGAACAGATCTGACAGCAGGAAACGAGCAAACGAGAGAAAGAGAAACACACGAACACACAACCAGAAGACAGAGAGCGAGCAGCAATGGAGAATGCAGAAAGGTGAAGAGTGATGAGTCTGCTGTAAAACACACACATGTTCAGTGCGTGTGAATATATGGAGGATCAGCCTAATGAGGGCCGCATGGATGCACAACACACACACGCTCTGCCTCATCTCCTGTCTCCTGCTCTACAGTAAGTCCATGTCTGTCTGCTGATGCCGGTTTGTGATCGTTTGCATAGATTTGAGGACGGATGTACTTTATAATAACTAAATCGTCGCCATTACACTGATGTACATTACAGGTGTAAGAGATGGTCATGATGATTTCTGCAGAATAATGCCTATAATACACATTAATAACGACAGTGATGTGATCAGAGTTCGTTTGCTCCGTTCAGATATTTGTTCTGTCCTTCTCTCAATGACATCTGTGATCTCTTCAGCATTTCTCTAATATTGTTAAACAACACGCAAGTAAAGCTGCTGCAATATCACATCCTGTAAGCCAGGGGTGTCCAAAGTCAGTCCTGGAGGGTCGGTGTCTTGGAGAGTTTAGCTCTGACGTGCCTCAACACACCTGCAGGGATGTTTCTAGAAAGCCTAGTGAGAGCTTGATTAGCTAGCCCAGGAGTGTCTGATTGGGGTTGGAACTGAACTTTGCAGGACACCGGCCCTCCAGGACCGAGTTTGGTCGTGCCTGATGTAATCAGTCTAGATGATCTGAACATTAAAATCAGCGGTCACCAATCTCGCTCCTGAAGGTCCGGTG